ATCCCTGGGACCTGTGCTTCCTTTTCTTCATTTTTTTTCTTTTTTTTTTTTTTTTTTTTCTCTTTTCCTTTCTTGGAATTAGCATGTTGACCTCAAACTACGGAGGTTCCAAATGCTCCCTCGGGAAATCTCTTGTATGCAGAGATTACATAATGACGTAATAGTATATCCTTTTCCTCCTTTCTGTGCTGCGACTGTTGATGAAGGTCTTTGCATTAGCTTAGACTTCAGTCTAGCTTATTCTGCCATAGCCGGGCTGGCTCTGGAGCCCCAGTATCTTGTGCTTACTTTAAGTCATATATACAATTATATACTCTTCATCAGATATTCTCTTTCATTCTGTGATGTTTCAATTTGATAACAGATTTTTAGATGATCCTTATCAAAAAGTTTTAAGTCTCCCCTCAGCCCCCATGTCCTCTGGTTTGGTAAGAGCAGAAATCTGGGCGTAAGATGGTCATGGAAGAGAAGTCATGTCACAAATGTAGGGTTGGAAGGTGTGTGGTGAGGGTTATGGGGGGCTTGGCCAAGTATGAATTTGTAGGGAATCTTTAATGGTTCAGTCAAAAGCGAGAAGTATCTCCAAGTTTCTTCTATGCTGGTGGTTCCTCTCACTGCCTCAGCACCACAGCAGGCATTGCATTGGTAGACAGAGCTGCTTGTGGTTTCCTTTCAGGAGCACATATGCTTTGCTTGCTTCTTCCTGTAACTGTGCCACTGACTTTAAGCAAAAATTTTGCAGCATTTTATGGCCTTATTTTTGGAGACATAATTTTCTGTTCTAGTGTTCAATTGCACAGAGACAGATAGCATAGCTAGTTAAAGTATTTTACTGAAAATTAACTTCTGGAAATTAATGGCATAATAATCTCTTTTTTGCTTCCTTTTTTTTCCCCCTAGCCTGTTCTTTGTTGTTTTTTTCTTGGATAGGCATTCTTCAAAGACTGTTGAGTGCTTAGATTATAGTCATGATTTAGGAGCTAGATAATACCCAGGTTCTAAGAGAATCATGCAATAAGCAATTGCTTTTCCCCTTATTTACACATAGGGGTCTGAGGCACAGGGACTAAATTCGTATCCTCAGAGTATTTGAGGCCTGACTTTTAATTTGACATATTTGTGGTTTGGCCTTAAGTGACTTGCAGTTGTACAGGGAACCTGTGGTAAAACAGGTAAATTGAAAATTAGTTCTTCTGTGTCCCAAATGAGCACCCTAATCGCTAAACTATTTCCTTCTGTTTCTGAAATCTCATCCATTTTTCTCAGGTACTAATGATGAGGTGGGAAAAGAACCTGTTTTATTTTAGCTAGCTTTCTAAAAACTGCAGTGTGTCACAGTAAGAATATAACAGATCTTAGGAGAGCGAGCGATATTCTCAACAAGTGACAATAGTGTTAGTACTTTGTGAATCAAATACGGTTTGGGAGTCCTGGTACCTTTATGGGATGGGACAGAAGTTAGGAACTGGCTGGACACAAGGCACAGGAAAAGGCTGTGTCCAACTGAAACCTCGGGAGGATTTTAGGTAGGCAGAGAGTCAGGTCTAATGCTGGAATTGTTTCAGGAGAATGCTTAAATTCCAGACTGCAGACAACTCTTGTGGGGGAACAGCATTGCTGCTGCTTGGCAAACCAAGAATGAATTTACGGGAATTCTCATATTTTTCAAGCTTTTTCTTACTGGTGTCCAAGCAGAACTTCTAAAGAGCAATTGCATTTAAAGTCAAATTTTTAAGCTGTAAAGAAAGCATGCTATAATTGGTATATAGAACTAGGTCTAAGATTAGCATGGCATGAACTAACCTGTGTCTGAGCAAGTTCTAGAAACTGTTTCTTTTTGCTTGTTCTGTGAAGGTAGGTTGCACGTTTAGTTTCAGAGAAAAGTGAGAATGCGCACTGCTATGCACCTGGAAAATCATAGAATCATAGAATTCTTAAGGTTGGAAGGGACCCCTAGAGGTCATCTAGTCCATCCCCCCTGCACACGCAATGTCACCTAGAGCACGTGGCACAGGACTGCATCCAAGCGGATTTTGAAGATCTCCAGAGAAGGAGACTCCACAACCTCTCTGGGCAGCCTGTTCCAGTGCTCTGTCACCCTCACTGTTAAAAATTTTTTCCTTAAGTTCCTGTGGAACTTTTGATGCTTCAGTTT